TATTTTCTTTTTTTTACAATCACAAATTAATATACTATTATCTTTATTAAACATAAATCATTCTTTTTTTAGATTTTGTCACGCAGCAAATCAAACACGTGAAATTCGATTATGTAATTTCACGTGTTTTAATTACAAGTTAATTAGTTTTTGGGTTTGCGCGTTGCATTCTCAATATAGATTTTTTTTCCTTTATAAAGGTTTTCGATGGAAATTTTATTGAACAAAGGTGAACACAAAGAACTTCCTCTATTTCAACCTTCAGCATGAATCCTGGTGTGAATTGAAACTTTGTGTTTTGTAAATTTTCTAAACCTTAAGAGATAATTGTTTTAACATGTCAAAAACCATTAGTTCCAATTACAGAATTTACGTACGAGTCCAAATATTGGCCTCAAATTTCAGACTTTGTTCGTCATGCGTTACGAGTCGATCTTCAGGCCGAACGACCGTTGCATACATACTCACATGAAGAACTTTACAGGTTCCTAAAAAAATAATAAACATTTTTTTTTTTATGTGTGATCTTTATCTCAATTATTTTATTAATAGGAGTATTTATTGGATGTGTTGGCAAGGATTCCATAAAAGACTTTTTTCAGATTTGATCTCGATTATTGAAGAAACTCTTCATTTACTTGGTAATCAATTAAATAATATACAAGAGTTGGATATTTGGTTTCCTAGTTTTGCAAAAATATCCATTAATCACGCCAAAGCCACAGAGATCCTAGGCAGTGTATTTGCTTATTTGGTACGTTATAATATATTAAGTGTATATATGTGTGTGTATCTCTTGAAAGTGGTATTGTTTCTTATACATATCTTTCCTCATTAGGATAAAACCTATATTCAATGCACGCTTCATCAAAATCTGCGAGATGTGTTAATTTCTTACTTTCAAGAAATAATTACGGAGAAATCGGAGATGCGCATAATTTATGTTTTTAGTATGATTTTGGAGAACCCTACCATTGATTTAAATCTCGTCGTAGAGGCTGTCAAAGCGTTATACAAGATCAAACCTGGTAATTAATTGAAGGGAGTTAAAAATTATTCAATGAATAATTTGCTTAATGATTTACTGAAATTTTTAGATAATATATATTTGAATCCAACTTTGTTTCACAATTTTATCGAGGATATGAAATTACCATCCAACTTGCAGGATCTACAAATACGTTATACAACATTGGAAACTAAATATCAATTAGAAAAATTAAAAATGGAAGGTTGGGAGCCGGGATTTTCCAAATTGAAGAGATCATTATCAAACGACGATGTCGAGGAAACTTCAGGAAAACGCGTTCAACACTAGGAGCTAACGAGTACTTTTCGTATAACAGAAAGATAAGATTACATTTCATAAGTACGTTATCCATTAATATTTAAATCAATATATTACAATCAATATAGCAAATTCATTGTAAAATAATAATGATGATAATATAATTTTGTGTGAAAAAAAAAAAGTATTTTGGTCATTTGCTCTTTAATATTATTATTTCGAATAATGTTTTTGTTTTGGTTTTTTTTTTTTTTTTTTTTTGTTGGTTTTTTTTTGTTTTTTTTTGTTTTTTGCGAATGTGAGAAAAAAAGAAAAAAAAAAAAAAAAGATTATAACATAAGTAACAAAGTTGACCAATTAAAGAACAAAATCTAAGGCCAAAGGTATATATATATATATTTTTCCTTTTCCATAAAAAGACTAATATTAACATCCGCTAATTATAATAACAAGAAACAAGAAAAATTATCTAATATATATATATATGTAAATATGTAAAGGATGTTTTCAGAGATGATTGATGTTGTATTGAATAATATGAACACCAACATGCGCGCACCAGATGTTATAGATTTATATGTATATTATGAATTAATATAAACGGTACGACACCTCTGATATATAGTTTATAAAGCACAGCACATTGATATACAAGTAAATACGTGTTGTATGAAAATGCTGTAGTGGTGATATTAGGAAGGAGGTATTTAATTTTATTCTAGAACTCGGAAAAGAATTTCACACACGATTAACCACAATGGAACCATGCGAAACAACTCGAACCAAGAGAAAAGATAATAAAGCAGCGCACAATACATATATCCTGTATATATTGTCCTAAGTTGAATTAGAGAAGAGAAGGATAAGATCATTAATCAATTCAAATTTTAAAGAACAAATAATTTCATTTTTTTAAAAGAAAAATTCATAAAAACTCACTTTGAATGCAGAAGGAGCAGCAGCAATTTGTAAATTATTTGGTACGGGTTGTTGTATATCTACTGGTTGGTTCTCATATTCTTCGAGGAATTTTATTAATGTTCTCTCAATTGACCTTAGATCCCTCACCTCTTTTTCCTTTCGAAGGATCTCTTCATCCTGTTCATAAAGAATACGTTGTACTTTTTTTTTTAAAAAAAAAATGATCGATATTTAAAGAATGATTTTAGTAAATGATATAAAAATGATGATATTAATAACTAGAACATTTGAATATGAAATAAATTTCGATTAAATACATTCTCTGGATTTGGCTTGAATTATTTGACATTTCAATTCGTACATGATGGCTTCTTTTTTCAAAGTTCTTATTTCATCTCTTTCCTGAAGAGATCCCTATGAAAAGTGTGACAACAAGAATATTAGCCCCAGAACACATAGCCGTAATACATTAAAATAGTTTTAACAAAAAGATTCGTGTAATAGGAAACTTACTTTATGTTTTCGTTCCTTTGTGGTAGCACGCTGGGTCAAGTTTAACCTGGTTCTACGTTTAGTTCGCTTACGTATTTGATTCGAAATCATTGGGTTATTATTATTAAAGATGGACTTTTTCTTTGGCTCAAAGTTTATATTACTGAAAGGGACGTCACTTCGTATGTAAGAATAAGAAACACCTCTAAAACCGCTGATGCCACCTTCTAAACCATCGCAGCCACCACCATAACTATATTGCCCTCCTTTAGTTGAAGTCAGACGAGCAGTCGAATGACCATAAACAAGGGGATTCATTCCGTCTTGACGAGGAGCCATTATAGTAAAGAAAGTATATATACTATTTTAGACGGATAAAAACAAAAAAAAAAAATAAATTTGAAGAGGAAAAAAAAAAAAATTTTATGTATAAAAAAATTTTTTTTTTTTTTGAAAATTAAAAGAATGCTTGAATCATATAAAGATGAAAAATATAAATTTTTTTTAATCTATATGAAAGTCGTTCACAAGTCGGTAGATGGGATTTTTTTTTTTTAAATGGCGGGAAATTATTTATAATAATGATAATATGGGTGGTTTTTATAATAAAGAAGTTCAAATTTTTATTTTTTTTTTTTTTTCGTGGGACTTTTGAGTTCCACGAAAAAAAAAAAGAAGGGCAAGTATTTATTAAGGAAACGCGTTGGTTAGGACAGGTTATATGAGTAAATTTATAAAAAAAAAAAAAAATCGTAAAAAAAATCATCATGTGATCCCCATTGTTTTTTATAAGATATATGTGATAGTTCCGCCAGATTACCTAATCGGTAATATACATTTGTGGCTATCTCTTTAAAGAGTTAGAACCACTTTTCATTTATCGAATGAGTAAAAACATTCTGAACTACTATTAGTAGATAATACTTTGACCATACAAATCAACCCCCTCCCCAATATCACTCTTATCCTACTGCTTTTCTTTTCCATCTTTAAACAATAAAAAATGGTTTCTATTTGTCATTTGTATTATTCCCTGCGACATTCTCCCCCCCCCCCTTTTAACTTGTTCGAGGTTTATTTATTTCAAAATCGTACTAAATCAAGTTTGGATTAAATGTCTAAGCAACCTGTGTTACGAATATGAAAGCTTTGGGGGGTGTATGATATAAATAAAATAAACAAATGAATGGAGGAAAAAAAAAAAAGATTACGATATTTGGCATATTCTACCGGAGGTGCGATGTTTTAATAAAAAAAAAAAATTTTTTGATTTGATTGATTGTGCTATGTTGACTTTTTGTATTTTTCGTGTATCAATCAAATTTTTTTTTTTTTTTAATGACAAAGAAAAAAAAGAATTAAAGTTAGATTTATTTTGATCTGTGTAAGAGAATTTTTTTCGAAAAAGTGAATAAATGATGTGTTTGTATTCTAAACTTGTGTGGAATGATGTCTAATATCTAATTGTGAATGATGTTGTAATTGTCGTGTAATAATTATAAGTATTTGTGTTAGTGTAAAAAATTCGATTATATAGAACGAGTTCATAATACGGAAAAAATCACCGCTGGCATCTTTTCAGAACGGTATTGGATTTCAAGAATTTTCAGGAATTTTTAGAATGTCATTGTTTTCACTTTGATATTTTTTTGTATTATACATATATATATATTATATATTATATTAAGCCCCCTCATTATAATACTAACAAATTAAGAATTCATAAATAAATAAATAAATAATACCAAGAAACGATAAATATTATCCATTAGGAAATGATAATGAACATTCGCTTGCGGTAATGAAATTATTGTAAATCAAGATATCTTTAAAATTTATTGTGTAAAAAAAAAAGGGAGATTCTATTTTGATATTTAAAATAAATTTTAGGTTAACGTAACATGTAAATCTTTAGTTAATTTATTATTTGTACTAATCAAAGCGTCGTCGTATTGTTTCCAGTCGTCACACAATCGTGACGATTAAGACAGAATTTAATGTTACGTCCGCGACATAATTTCCTTAATTGCGGTTTATTGATTTATTTGGATTATCGTCTAGCATAAGCGAATTACAGTTGCATCCCATTACTTTCTTTATAAAGCTGGCCGAAGGAAAAAAAAAAAATCTTCAATTTACTAAGCCACATAACCTCTGCATGATAGAGACGGCACTTGTTCGATAACCTCCCCCAAACAAGTAGTAATGATTCAAATAATGGTAAAGTTTATACAACTCTGATTATATTAAAATAATGAATGTATGTACATCATCAAATGAAATAATGTATTTATTTACATCAATAATAAATCATACCTTGTCTTTGTTCGAAGTAAGGTTCCTGACGCGGATGATGTTTGTGATACTCTTGAAAGAAAGCTTTTTAAACAAATCAAAAAATTTTAATTCTTAAAAACAATACTTTAAAGATGAAAATAATGCACACACATTATACATGTACATATATACATCAATACCTCTTCCAGGACTTCCAAACATAGTTAGAATGCTTAATTCATATTCGTTATGACCGTAACAAGACGAAGGATCATAAACGATGGGTTCATTGGCATCTGAATCAACGCTCCAATTTCCGCTCCATAAATCTCCATGAACTAATACAGGTTTCACTTCAATATCTTTCATTAAATGATCAACAACCTTGTCAATAACAAACTCGACAAGCCTGCGTAATTCATCATCTCCTGGATTATTTTGTAAACACTTTTCCAATATAGGTCTTAGTCTTCGTACTTTGTAGAATTCTGCCCAGGTATCTTCCCATGTATTATCTTGTTCTGTGGGGCCACACGTTGTCATCACCGAAAATCCGAATTTGCCATTTGGTGACTCCTTAGAATGCAATTCAGATAATTTTTGAGCAAACAATTTTTGCATAGATGATAAATTTGCTGTCGAAAGTCGTTTATATGTCGTAACGATAAATGCACCTCCATTAGGAAATGTTCCAAGGCATAGAGGTTTTGGTGCAAAACCTGGAACCGCTTCAAGTATCGCATTCAAGGACTCAATTTCGCCTAAAAATAAAAAAATTTTATTTTAATAAATTCTTCGTTAAATTCAAAATCTGTCAAATAATTCTTACCTTCAAACATCGCATATGCATACGCCCTGTTGCTTGTCTTTACAAATACATCACCCGTATCTGTGGACAATTTAAACGCGTCTCCTGACAATTCTGATTGATTCAATATGCTTGTACAAATCCCATGACTTCGAAGTACCAATAAAATTGACTGTGTATTTGGACTCATAATAAAATGTAATCAAAAAAAAAAAAAGCAAAACTTGTCAAAGGGTAACAACGCATTATTACTGTTGCGAATACGGTTACTTTCCGCGCAATATGTGTTACGTACTTACCTTGCTCATTTTAGTATATTTACCCACAAAAATTTCACCCACGTGATTTTGGCAAAAACTAACGTGTGACATGAATGGTCATAAGTGAAATTGTTCTTTTGGTCATTAATCACGTGAAATTCATGGCATTTTTTTTTTATAGCTGCGGTAGTTTTGGCTGAACGTAAATCTATCCATTGTGAGTGATCGAAAGTTCTTAATGATTTTCTAAAAGAATTTATAACATGATAACTTGATCAATATTTCTTTTTAGAACAAATAAAAAATAAAAAAAGTGCCATAATGAAATGAAAAAATTTCGGAACATCATTTTGAAGCTTTATTTGAACGAACTAAGTTATTCGGATAAGGTTAATCCGTGAATTTATTGTGATACATTTGAATTTTTTTTTAAATTTATAAAATAAAATCAAATATATATAAACCAATGTAAATTCTGTCGTGAAAAACAAATAGTTTCAAAAACAAATATTTTCTTTTTGTATTCAAATTTAAATTTCCTCTAAAACGATATCTAATAATTCAGGTAGGTTTCCTGAGTTACGCGAACGTTTTTGTTAATTCGCCCTTCCAGATTTAAAATTTTTGTGCTGTTGTGGTGCTAGTATTTAAATTGTGAATAATTCTTGGTTACTAATGTTATTATATATATTTCCTCCCTATACTTGTTTGCTAACAAGTAAGAAGAGAAAGTTTTTCTTTTAAATTTGTTATTTTGTTTTTATTTTTCCTATTTCTTTATGCATGAATACAATATTTTCCCGAGATGATTTGTTTTCAATTATGAATATTCTAATATCGATGAACTGCGCATATATAGAGAAATGAGAAATGAGAAATCCTAAAAGTAGTCAATAAAAATGTCATCATGCTTTTCCTATAATAGTAATCATTCCATGACTTCATTTAATATAGGCAATGGACCGCATATAAACATACATATTAACAACGTTTAAACTAACTTCTTTTTCATTTTGTCCAGTTAGTCATCGCGGCCCTTTTTCCATTTATCTGCATATTCTGCCTGTACTTTTCCTACTCGACCAACTCACACAAGGCGCGGTCTCCTTGTTTTTAATACTTTCCTTTTCTTCCCTTTGTAACGACCCAAGTCTTTTACTCCTTTAAAAGAAAGTAGCTCCTCGAAAAGAAAGCATTCCACAATATGTCACCAATCGAATTTTCACTAATCGCTGGTAATCCCTTTTACCTTGCTACATTAGGGTTATCCTTGGTAAATGAGATATTTCTTTTTTACATTTCTATATATTTATAATAATATCAAGTCGTTCAATTAATAATTATTTTTACTTTCGATTCTTTCAGATTGGTTGGATCATTACATTTGCTGGTTCTGCCGCAGCTGGCAGAACAGGTGTTAACTGGTTCTATATAATTTTCGAATTATTTCTCATTTTGGGTATTGCTGCTGCCATTGCAACAAACTCTATCAAATATTATCGCTTTTCCGTATCTTTTTTAAATTCGTTACACTGCTAATAACTGCAGCATATATGCTGTGACTGTTAGGATTCATTTGTTCATGTTGTGCTGCAATAATTCCGGGCAAGATTATTATTTTATCCTTTACTATTTATTTCATTACTTTTAGATTTTAACATTTCTGGGCGCTAGTCTGGTCTTCATAGTTGCTTTGATTAGCGAGAAAATTAATTCAGACTTGGCCGAAGATCAAGCAGTCGCGGCGGGTGCAATTTTCCTTTCTCTTGTGACGGTATTAAGAATGAAAAAATATATTTTTTTTTTATTTGTTTTCATATATAAAAATATAAAAAGAGGATAAAATTTACTAATCAACTTTTTTCGATAATTAAAATAGTTCGTGTGGATATTTAGTTTTGGATCCGAGGAAGGGTCCATTGTAGTAAACAGCATAAATTCATTGGCAATAAACAAAGTTGACAGAAATACAACACAAGCGGTTCATGGGTTTGCACAATCTGGTCCAATAAGTCCAGGGATTGCAATGGTACCAACTTCCATACAGGAACCATCCATAAATAATACTGTTGTTGTTACTCCAAATCCTGATTATGCTTACAAGGCAAAGGCTTTATATGATTGTAAGTTCATCTTTATTAGATCAAAAATGATGGACGAAATAGATCATTTAGGGTTTAAAAGGAATATCTTTACAAATATTATGAGGAATAAGCCCGTTAAGAATTTATTTTTTATTTATTTATTTAATAGACCAAGCAAATCCAGACGATCAAAATGAACTTTCATTTAGTAAGGGAGAGATCCTTGATATTGCTGACAATAAGGGTAAATGGTGGCAAGCAAAAAAAACTGATGGTTCAATGGGTATAGCTCCTAGTAATTATGTAAGTACAAAATATATTATTTTGGGTTTTTTTCGTCATGGTTTTCAATATATTCAACCTTCATTTATTTACTTTTATATAGTTGCAAATCATTTAAATGTGAAAAAAAAAAAAAAAATGAGGCTATATCATTATAAAGAATATTTCGTATAGAATTGAAATCACGAATATGCCGATAAACTTGGAAATTTTATAAATAATAATCTAAATTACCTGCATTTTTCATCTACTTTAACTTACAAAATATAATATATAAATAACATTTTCTCCCTATTCTTTAGTCTTTGTATTTGTATTAAACAATTAACCATATTTTATAAATATCTTTTTTTTATTTATATTTATATTTATATATCAATTTTTTTTTGTTTGAAATAGACATTATTTACTATCTATCGATACAAAAAAAAGTTTTTTTTACATAATAATAATCATACGAAAGGAGTTTTAATCAAAAGTTGATTATTTACTTCAAATATATTTTTTCTAAATAATAATATTTTTATAAAACCGGTATTTACCCGATTAATTTATGAGCTTATTAGTACTTAATTATTATAAACTTGATAATTAAAAAGAAAAGGAATAGTTAGAACAAACTCTTTGTTGATAGTACACCTTATTTACTTATAAAGAAAATTAAATAACTTATCAAGTAAAGTTATTAAAATATTAATTTTCATTAAAATTTGAGACTATTTGCTATAGATAGATGTATTTTCTTTAAATTAATTATATTATTTTTAATATTATTTAAAAATTTAATTATTTTAATTATTTCTTACCTTTAATTTTTTTTTATATTAGAAAAGCATTAAATTATAAGTCTTATATAATATTATATAATTAGCTTAAACTTTTAGTAGAAATTATAAAATTACATTATAAATTAATATAAGATTTATAAATTATATAATATTATACTTTTCAATCTTTCTAATATATTATAAAATAGAATAATTCACATTATTCAAAAAAAAAAATTTTTTTAATTTTAATATAACTAAAAAGTTAATAAAATCTAATTATTTAAAAAATTTACTAATTTATATCATTTTATTTTATTATTTTAAAAAATTATTTTTATTTAAAAATTTTATCAACATTAAATATATATTTTTAATTTTTTTTTTTTAATAATTTTACATTATTAAATACTAACAATTTAATCACATGTAATTTATTTTTTATAATAATAATTAATTAATTTTATATTATAAAATATAAATTTAAAATAATATAGTAAAAATTATTATAAATTTAATAATTTATAATAAATAATAATATTTAATAATATTGATTGTATTATTATTGTATATTAATCATATTAAAACTATAAAATAGTTTTATGAAACTATTATTAAGTCTAAGATAATTTTAACTAAAAAAATATTGCAAAAGCTAATCAGCATCAACTTAATTATTGAGTAGATAGACAATAAAATATCTTTATAATTTATAGCTAGTATATGAGAATCCTTTACTTTACTCTAGATTAATAATTTATTTTTAAAAATATTTAAATTAATAAATATAAATAAAAGTTTTATAATATATATATAATTTATTAAGATTAATATAAATTATAATTTTAGTTAATTATTAATTAAATATTAGTATATAATATATAATTATTATTAAATTTATTATATAGTAAATCAAATAATAATTATTATATATTAGTAATATAAATTAGGATACATAATAATTGCACTTATTCTTATTTTTTTTTACATATAACACATATATGACAATATAAGATTTTCTTACATTTTACGCTTATAAAAAATATTTTGAATTTATATTATTGGTGTAATATATATAACTTAATTTTAATTAATAAGTTTAATAAAATTCAAATGATAAATATAAATATAAATATAAATAATAAAGTAATTTATGCTTAACAAATTATATTTTTAAAATTCTGATAAAAATTATTTTTAATAGAAAAGTAACAATTTAAAATAAGATTATTTTACTATGAAATTAGAAATTTAGCACTCTATACATGATTCATGTGATCACTTTTTTTATTTTAAATTAGTTGATTTTTATTTTTATAATACTGATCAAAGTCACAATTATAAAAAAAGATTTACATCTTATTGCTATTTTTTTTAGCCAATTTTATAATTAAAAAATAAGTATTTAATTATAATTATTATTATTATTATATATAAATTTTTTATATTATTAATTTTTTACATTTTTTATTTATAACCTATATAAAAAATCCGATATGTCTTACCTAAAGTTGCTAAATAAAACCTAAAGATTTTGCAAATTATCTAAATAGAAAAGGTAAAATATAACAAAATTATAGTAAAGTCTTATTAAAAAATCTATAAAATTCTAAAAAAAATAAATTATATCAAAATTTATAAAATGCAAAACTATATCAAAACTTTAATAAAACTTAATAAAACTAAAATTTTAGATATTTTACCAAATCCAAAATAAATTTAGACAAGCAATCTTAATCTTGTCTAAATAATAACTATTTGAAAAACTGAATCAGAAATCTGATAATATAAATAATA